GCTAAGGATTTGCCCCTTTTTTCCAGAAGTTTCTTTGCCTTTCCTGCCTGTCTTACATCTGGGGCATTTCCTGGCACTCTCTATCCAAATCCTTTATTTCAGTCCCATCAACCTTTTGTAGAACTGTCTCAAGAACCAACTTTGTAGCATTATAAACTACAGGTAGTCCTCAACTTATGACCACAATTGAGCCCAACATTTCTGTTGTTAACTGAGACATTTTGTTAAGTGAGTTTTGCTCCATTTTACGACCTTTCTTACCACATTCATTGAGTGAATCAATGCAGTTGCTAAGCTAGTAACCTGGTTGTTAAGTGAATCTGGGCTTCCCCATTGATTTTCGCAAAAGGGGATCACATGACCCTGGGACGCTGCAACCGTCGTAAGTACATGCCAGTTGCCAAGCCTCTGAATTTTGATCACATGACTGTGTGGATGCTGCCTTGGGCGTTACTGTGAAAAACCGTCCTAAGTCACTTTTTTTCAGGGTGGTTGTAACTTTGAACGGTCTTGTTGTAAGTTGAGGACTACCTGTGTAGTAAGGCCCTCATGCCCATCTAGTGAGTTTTCCATAAAAGCCTCTCATGGCAGATTTCCAAAATATACGTAATTAAATTAAAGGGTCTGTTGTGTGTTTCCCTTATTTTTATCCCTATCTAAATCACAACTAGTTGTTTTGATTGAATAAGCGGCCTCTCCACACGTCATAGTAACTCTGTTTTCAACCCTTCTAGGTCGCCTTGAATTAAAAGAAGAGAACATTGAGTGCCTGTTATCTACCGCTTGTATCCTTCAGCTGTCTCAGGTGGTGGAAGCCTGTTGCAAGTTTTTAATGAAGCAGCTCCACCCTTCAAATTGCCTTGGGATCCGCTCCTTTGCCGACGCACAGGGCTGCACCGATTTGCACAAAGTGGCCCACAACTACACCATGGTGTGCAATTCTCAGGCTTTCATTTTATCTATGGGAAAAGCATTCCATAATATCATTGTCATCATGCTAGATACGTTGACTAGGATTTCTGTTTTATTTTCAACGGAGGTGGAACAGAATCCCTCGTGTTCCTCCGTCTATCTTTTAAAAAAAAAAAGCACTTTATTTTGAATAGTTGGTGTTAGGTTTTCAACCTGGAAGCCAGTAATTAGATCTTTTGTCTTTGACTTACATTGATAAGATAAGATAAGATAACCTTTATTGTCATTTTTTATTGTCATTGGGCAAGCTACTGTTTTTTGTTTTTGTTTTTACCTCAGCTCATTTTCCTCCAGACACAACACGAAGACTGTTCCACTTTATGGCGGAAACAATTATTACTAAGATGATGTGTCTGAGGTACTTTGAACTCTTAGGAAGAGCACTTAAATCTATACAAATTCCCCAAAAAAGTTAAACATGAGGAAATATTCAATAGCATTTGGGACAAACTAAGAGCTCTGTTATAACGCCAAACAGTCACTAAACAAATGATTTTAAGCCGAGGACTACCTGTATATTACTAAAAAAAATATATCTTAAGCATTTTGACACCTGGGTTACGCCTTCCCAGCGATTTCTGATAAGTTATTTTGCTATTCCTTTGTATTACTGATACTTTCTCTTATCCTTTATTAGTTTATTGAAATATTATTATAGCACTTCCCCTAAGGCTAAAGCCCTGGAAATTACTCTTTCAAGGCTATTGGCATTGAAAAAACAAAACAAAACAAAGCCAGAGATACTTTTCTACCCTTTAATAGTTGAATCAAATTTAAATTAAGATGGTTTTTAAAAAGTGATTTTTCCAGAGTAATTAGTTGCGCTACATCAATTCTTCCCAGGGCCTTTTTTAAAAAAAAATATTGTTTAATTCCGACGGAGACACGAAATTGAATTTTAGTAATAATGAGCACCACAGAGGCACTTACTTTGGCTGGAAGTATAGGTTGCCATGGAAACGGTACAGAAATGTGTAGGCCAATTGAATCTTCAATTAGAGTAAAAAGTCCTACTAATTTCATTTGCTTAAAAAGCTACCTGAAATCAAAAATTTTCAAAGGAGCAGCCATTTTGCGTTCGTTTCTGCAATGTGAGTTTGGTGGATCTATATACCACTGTTTAACGCTACTTGCTTATTAAAAACCGTGAATTGTGCATTTGCACTTCAAATGGAAATTAAATTGCAGAAAAGGAAAGGGTGGGAAGCATTTGCATCTATTGTATTTTCAAAGTGCACTGCTTACCTTTAAAAGTTTTCTAACTGGGAATGAAACGACTGTTAAATAGAGGTAGTCCCCGCCTTACGGGATCGCGTGATGAAAATTCGGATGCTCGGCAACCGGTTCATATTTAGGACGGTTGCAAAGTCCTGGGGTCATGTGATCCCCTTTTGTGACCACCTAGCTTAACAACCGTGTTACTAACTTAACAACTTCGGTGATTTACTTAAAAGAAATCTAGTAGATTTCTTTTATTTACCAATAGTTGATTTTCTTTCTTTTTTTTTAACCAAGCCTAAATATTTCATCTAGAAAACGTACAGCCTTCAAAATATTTATTTATAGGAGAGAATGCAACCACGTAACTTGTTTGCAGATCGTTTTTTCCCCCTGTGAATTTTATTTCACTGGGTAACTGAGCGCTAATTGGAATTTCCTCTGTAATACCAGCGAACGAAAAAGAAATCAAATGGACAATAATACGTCGATTTGTGCCCAGGTCTTTCCTCCGTTTCGTATGCACGTGGTTTTATTTACGCTTCTTATCGTTTTTAGGAGCACTTCATGGAAGTAATTAGAAACCAAGAATTCCTCCTGCTGCCAGCCACAGAAATTGCAAAGCTTTTAGCTAGCGATGATATGAACATTCCTAGTGAAGAGACTATTCTCAGTGCGTTGCTTACTTGGGTGCAACACGATTTGGAACAGCGAAAGAAAGACCTCAGTAAACTCTTAGCATACATTAGACTCCCTTTATTGGCTCCACAGGTAAGTGAGTGACATTCCCCACAGCCAATCATCTGTCTTCAGATCTCTCAATAACTTAAGGTTTCGCAACTTAATGGTCTCTTACATGGAAAATTTCCCTATATATATATATATATATATATGTATGTCAGAGGTCACCAACCTTTGTCAGTTGGCGGACCGGAGGAAAAGGGTGGGGGAAGCAATTTACATGCGTATGGGCTCGTGCATGTACGGGGCCGCGAGCACATGCGCTCCGCAAACGGGCCAGTGCTAGCGGCCGTATGATACTAGCCCCACCCCATTCTTGTGTGGCGCAGCTCCTTGTTTCTGTGCCCTGTGGCGCAGCATCACTCTGTTTTTTTCACCCCATGGCGTGGCGGTGACCTGTTTCCACGCCCTGAGGCGCGGTGGCATCCTGTTTTTGCGCCCCGAGCCGTGGCAGCCCTTTTTCACGCCCTGAGGCGTAGCAGCAATGGCCTGTTTTGGGACCCCAAGGCGGAGCGGCAGCGGCTGATTATCGTGCCCTGAGGCACAGCGGCAGCCCGTTTTTGCACCCAGCTGCTGCACTAGTGCAAGTGATGGTGTGCGCGCACACGTGCACTCACTGGCCAGCCTGTCCGGTGGCCAGCAGGTCACGGCCCACTACCGGGCTGTGGCCCACAGATTGGGGACCCCTGTTCTAAGTCCTTTTAACCATGCCTGTGTTTTCTAAATTTAGTAAAATATTTTTTTTGAATGATCAACAGAAAAAAGGCCAGTTCACAAGACTAAAAAAGCGCCAGAAAGCTTCTATCTAGGGTGTGATTAAATTATTGCCGTAATTTCAGGAATTGAAAATTAGAGGAGAGATTGTTGAGAAACAAGTTCAAGAAATGTAAACGCTGCTGTACCATTAAACGGGAGACAGTTGGCTGATTCCATTTTTAAAATTCTATTAGAGCAAGATTTGATCTCAGTCGGAACTGATTTCTTGGGCCGAAACAATCATTTTATCATAGTTTGTGGAAAGTATATACCAAAACCAGTTAAATGTTTATTGGAAATTCCACCGGCGATTCGAATTCCTCAGGCAGAATTTGGCCTACGTTCGGTGAGAACTTAAATTCATGATGCCTTAATTAAATACTTACAAACATATCTGAGTGAAGGGTGGTATATCCTTGGTTAACTAAAGCTTCAAAGCACTAAAACATCAGGAGACATGGAAATGAGTATTTCGTAGTCTATTCCCATTATGCATAAATATGGCTGTGTTTAGTCACCTGCGGAGATAAGAGCTGATTTTTTTTTTCCAGTAAGCCATCATCATGTAGATTTGTCCGGTGGCCCGGTAGATTGAAACAAACTTCCAAAGAGCCAGTAACTGATACTTATAATTTTATATAAATTGTTCCAGACTGTAGAATGTTAAAATGCCAAACTGTGCTATTGACTTTTTTTTTTAAAACAAGTTTTATTAGTTTTTTCATTTTACAAACAAGTGCTTACGAATCAACGTGGTGGCAGGGTAGTCAATTGTCCAAAAACAAAGTCATACTCATATAGTTCAGATTAAATCATTAGAAACCCCCTCTCTATTCCCTCTAATAATATATTATATTCAAATTAATGTATTTCAATACAACTAAGTCAATCCAGACAGTCATCAATTACATTTCATCTAAATAAGTCCTAATCCTGTATTAAGCTTTACTATTTCAATTGCTATATTCCATATTGCTAATATAAATACATAATTAACCCTTCAGGTGTCTCTCCATTCCCTTTTTCCTTAACATAATAATCATTTATTAATATCATTTCTTCTTTTTTCTTATTCTTCTTCCATAACAAATTAACTATCATTTCTACCAAACTGTGCTATTGACTTTGATTGATGGGAAATACCATCAAATCCTACTGATGTGAAGGCTTTGTATATACTACCAGTCTGTAAGAGAGGAGCAGGCAGATCATGGGGTGGGGGAGGAGTCAAGAGAGGAATCAAACTAGAGTCTTTACATTCCCACAAATTCTAAGTCCAAATTCTCTTGAATTCATTATGTTGACTCTTTATCTGGCGCCAATGCTGGCTGTTAGTTGGTTAGATTCTTTTGTATAGGCTCAAGCAGTGGATCATCCTAACTGGAAGTTAATGTGTGGTCCCAATTCTTTGTGTCAGACACAGTCTCGCACACTCAAAGTCTGCATTATTATTTGTTTCATGTATGTTCACTTTGGAGGAAAAGATTGTGAAAGTCCTGGGCTTCTGTCATGAGCACGATAAGGACAAAAGTTATGTTTGTGCCCTCAGTCCAAATGACTAAAATCAGTGGCTCCCTTTTCTGTGTCAGCCTTAAAATTAATTAAAAACAACTGCTATCTTGCATGCATGGTGATCCCTTGCAAAAGGGATTCCCTTGTTTAATAAGGTACACTCAGAAAAGTCCAAAAGACCTATTGATTCTTTATTAATCAGTCAGATCCAGTTAACTTTTTGTCTTGCTCCGCGTGAATTTTGGTTTTTTGAATGGTTTTGAACGTTAACATCAAAAATCGAGTTTTAAACTTTGGGATAGGCTCTGCGTGTGGTGATGTAGTTAGAATTTGAATTGAAAAGGAAAAAATATCCAAATCAGCTATGACCCCTTGCTGGGTGATATTTTGTCTGTTTTGTTTCTTATCTAACATACCTTGCAGAATGATCATGACTATTAAAACAGAGTAAAAGAATGTCCAAAACACACACATACGGATTTAAAGTTCCTGTAAGAAAAGGAAGAATAAAAAAAAAGTAATCAGAAAGGTTTCCCGCTTCTGATTACTATCCAGAAATTTTAATTTTGTTATATTAAAATAAGGTTCACTAAATTGTAGATCAGCATTTGTTGTTGATGCTACTTTACTAGATCAGTTAAACAGTTATTAGAGTTGCGACGTTTTAAAGAGTCACCTAGGTTGATTTGGAGAGAAGGCACCAAATCTGGATAATTTAGAGCAAACCAGTTGCTTTCTGGTGAGGTTTAACGCTGTAAAACTTGATTTTGATGTCCATTAATGTGTGTTATGCTGCTCTGTCCATTAGGAATTACGTCATACAGAAAACCTTGATGCTTGCATTCACCAAAGCTCACGATAGTAATGAAATTCGCAGCGGTTACAAGCACCTAAAGTGTAGAACTAGATACCAGTAACGCGTAATATAATTTCTATATTCTACATGTTGTAAGTTACTGCAGTATTACGGTAGTTAATCTTGCTGCCGCACAATATTTTGCGTGAAAGTTTCATCCAACAGAGTAATTACCGATTTTTATCCGAGGGAAAATAGTTAAAGCCTGCTTTGATGTACAGAAACTGAAATTTCTTGTAATAGTGCTTGTTTTTTTTATAGCCTGATTATTGCAGATCATTTATTAAGCGTGCATACTGATGATAGGTTAGATCAGGGGTCCCCAACCCCCAATCCGTGGACCGGTACCGGGCCACAGCATGCCAGCAACCGGTCCGTGCAAACAAGCAAAGCCCCATCCACGGGATGTAGGCAGCACACAAAACCACACACTCTCTGGTCTGTGGAAAAACCTCTCCCTGGTGCCCAAATGGTTGGGGACCTCTGGGTTAGATGACATCCACAGTGCTAATTAATTTGCATTTTGTGCTGGCTTATTCCTGATCCACTCTTATTGTTTAGCAATTCAGCACATTTTATCTCCCCTTTCACCTAGTTTTTAGCAGACATGGAAAACAACCTACTCTTCAGAGATGACATTGACTGTCAAAAACTCATCATGGAAGCAATGAAGTACCATCTGTTGCCAGAGAGAAGGCCCATGTTGCAAAGCCCTCGTACAAAGCCTAGAAAATCTACTGTTGGTGTCCTGTTTGCAGTCGGAGGGATGGATGCAACTAAAGGTATCGGTTTATAATAAAGATTAAAAACTACTCCATCATTGACTTCCGGTTTGCCATCGCGGCGTCTGTGGACCCAGGAAGGTGAGCTCCGCCTTCTGCGTCCGAATTCATCCCGCTGGGGGACCCTGGAAAGGGTCGAAAGTCATCCTGTAGCCGTGACGAGCAAGGAGGGATCCCCGCGGGAGGGCGGCAGCTCTTCTACTTGATCCGGGGCAGCTGACCAACAGATCCAGTCAACGGAAAAAATCAGAAATGGCAACCTTGGCTCTTTTATGACTCCTGGACTTCAGCTCCCAGAATCCTGAGCCAGACACGCTGAGGGGAAAGGGAGAGGTTTTCATGCTGAGCCATGCTGGCTCAGGAATTCTGGGAGTTGAAGTCCACGAGTCATAAAAGAGCCAAGGTTACCTACCCCTGAACTAGTAAGACTATCTCTAACCTTCCTCATGGAGTCCTACCTGTTTTATTTTCATAGAACTGCGATTATCGTTCCACGTATTCTTTTTTTTTTTAACATATATTCTACTATTATTAAGGAGCAACGAGCATTGAAAAGTACGACCTCCGTACCAATATGTGGACTCCTGTTGCAAATATGAATGGAAGAAGATTACAGTTTGGAGTGGCCGTGTTAGACGATAAACTATATGTCGTCGGAGGTAGAGACGGACTAAAAACGTTGAACACCGTGGAGTGTTACAACCCCAAAACAAAAACTTGGAGCGTGATGCCACCCATGTCAACTCACCGGCACGGGCTTGGTATGTATAAATATTTACATTTTTGTTTTTGTTTTTTTAAAAAGGGTTATTATGCATTGAGCTTTTACCAGATTAACTCAAGTAAGTGATTCTAATGTTTTATTTGTGGTTCGTTGTCATGGGGGGGGGGAATTAACTTTAAAACTGAAATAATTCTAGTTCTATTGGTGGTTCTAAATTTAGAGCTCGTACATTTGTACTAGTAGGAGCAAACCTTCCCACTTGTAGTAAGAATCTGCTCACATCCAACTATCTTTGGCTAATTTCTCTTTCTTTCAAATATCTTAATCTTCAATTATTAACTTTTAATTGGTGGCGCAGAATGCAATATTGCAGATTAACTCTGCCCACAGATAAGAGTTTGATCCTGACCGGCTCAAGGTTGACTCAGCCTTCCGTCCTTCCGAGGCCGGTAAAATGAGAAGGCCCAGATTGTCGGGGACAACAGGCTGACTCTGTTAAACCACTTAGAGAGGGCTGTAAAGCACTGTGGGGTGGTATATGAGTCTTAAGTGCTACTGCTGTCAAGTGTTTCAAGTATTAGTCAACATTATGAATGCCAAAATTATTTGATTTTGCATGTTATTTATATCCCGCTTGAGAGCTAAGTTGTGGACACGATATTCCTTGCAGGCCTGAGGGATTTTATGTTATTCTCAAACCTTCTACGAAAATAATGAGATCTGGGTTTTGCTTCAAGAGTGGGAGAAGCCAATATTAGGACCTAATTATAGTAAAGAGAATGATTATTTAATACTAACAGCCGCAAGGATAGTATTCGCCCAATTCTGGAAAAATGGAAATCTACCATCTGATCAGATTATAATTACCAAAATTTTAGAATGTTGCAGAAATGGATAGATTAACCCTGGAGATGAAAGAGAAAGAAGATTCAATTTATTTTAAAACCTGGGAAATTTTTTTTTATCAATGGTTAGAAATACGACAGAATGAGAAGAGAGCTTGAAATTAAATAGAATATATGGTTTTAGGTTTTTCACTAAGCTCTATCCTCTAGGTTAATAATAGCGTTACTATTAGTGACTTTAAATACTAGTGGAGACAGTTAGAATTAGTTTATATTTTATTAATTAAGGTTATTTACTTAAAGGAATTGTATTTACTTATTAATTCTTAATTAGATGATTACAGTTAACTCTATTTATTATAACTGTTTAGTATTATATAAACTATGTTTATTCAATATGTATATCCGGACGGTAGTTTGCTTGTTAAAGCATGAGATTATTGTTGGGGGTTACCCCACTATTGTACCTTCCTCTAACTCCAATCCTACCCTATCCTTAATTCCTTATTCCTACCCTTTCCCATATCCGTATTTACCTTATCCTTTCCCTACCCTATAAAATCTAATAAAATATTTATTAAAAAAAAAGAGTGGGAGAAGGCCAGCACTGCGCAAGTTGTGATGTTTGCTTTCTTTCGAAGGAGTGGCAGTCTTGGAAGGCCCTATGTATGCTGTGGGAGGACACGATGGCTGGAGCTACTTGAATACGGTGGAAAGGTGGGATCCGCAGGCCCGGCAGTGGAACTTTGTGGCTAGCATGTCAACTCCAAGGAGTACAGTGGGCGTAGCAGTACTAAGTGGAAAGTAAGTACAGAGAACCAAAAGTGTAAGGTTTTCTGGTAGACCCATCACAAGACCCATCAAAGACCTCACTTGACACACCCAAACCTGACACATCAAAGACCTCACTTGACACACCCACACCTGACACATCAAAGACCTCACTTGACACACCCACACCTGACCCATCACAAGACCCATCAAACACCTCATTTGACACACCCACACCTGATCCATCAAAGACCTCACTTGACACACCCACACCTGACCCATCACGAGCCACACTTGACACACCCACACCTCACCCATCACAAGACCCATCAAAGACCTCACTTGACACACCCACACCTGACNCACAAGACCCACACTTGACACACCCACACCTGACCCATCACAAGACCCACAAAGACCTCACTTGACACAACCATACCTGACCCATCAAAGACCTCACTTGACACACCCACACCTGACCCATCACAAGACCCACACTTGACACACCCACACCTGACCCATCACAAGACCCATCAAAGACCTCACGACACACCCACACCTGACCCATCAAAGACCTCACTTGACACACCCATACCTGACCCATCACAAGACCCATCAAAGACCTCAGTTGACACACCCACACCTGACCCATCAAAGACCTCACTTGACACATACACATCTGACCCCTTATCAACAGAACAACATTGACATCTCAACTCCGCTGAAGATGTTACCCAGCCTGGTAACGAAACGTTCGGAAACCAACCCACACGCTGGGAGAACGAACCTTCACACCCTCGTCCTCTACCCGAGCTAAAAACAATCACCGCTATTGCAAACCTAACATTACCTCCCTTAACATGTCTGTCTATGTTTGCAGGCTCTACGCGATAGGCGGCCGAGACGGAAGCTCATGTTTGAAGTCCGTCGAATGTTTCGACCCGCACACTAACAAGTGGACGCTCTGTGCTCAAATGTCAAAACGAAGAGGGGGCGTGGGAGTAACGACCTGGAATGGCTTCCTGTATGCTATCGGGGGTCACGATGCACCAGCTTCTAATCTGACATCGAGGCTGTCCGATTGTGTAGAAAGGTCTGTGTGTGTTTTCCTTATTTTTATCCTTATCTAAATCATAGGACACTGTAACTGTCCTAAATATGAATCAGTGGTCAAGCATCAGAATATTTATGACGTGACCGCAGGGATGCTGAACAGTCGTTAAGTGTGAAAAACAGTCATATGTTCAGTGCCGTTGTAATTTGTAAATGAACCGTTGTAAATTGAGGAACTATTTGTACCCAAAGATTTGTCTGCCTTGAAAATAACCCACATTTAAAATTTATAGCAGAGGTAAACCTCAGGAATTGACCACATGAAATGCTTTAGGATATTTTGTATTATGTCATTAAATGTGCTATGTCAGTCATGGCGAACCTTTTAGAGACCGAGTGCCCAAACTGCAACCCAAAACCCACTTATGTATTGTCGGGTGCCGGGTGGGTGTGTCCCATTGGGTGGGTGTGGCCCATTGGGTGGGTGTGTCCCATTGGGTGGGTGTGGCTTCGGTGGTAACGGCAGACTGGGTGGGACTAAAAAGTTCAATCAATCAATTCCAACTTTGCGAGAGATTTTTTTTCCCACGAGAAGTTGAAATTGATTGATTGATTGAACTTTTTTTTTTTTTTTTGCACACGGCGGCGGAGGCCTAAAGCGAAAAGGTTTTATAAAACCAGCTGAAGGCCTAGGACTGGGGCGTCGATGCGCGTGCCCACAGAGAGGGCTCTGAGTGCCACCTGTGGCACGCGTGCCATAGGTTCGCCACCATGGTGCTATGTCAGTGATGGCGAACCTATGGCACGGGTGCCAGAGGCGGCACTCAGAGCTCTCTCTGTGGGCATGCGCACCGTCGCCCCAGTCCTAGGCCTTCAGCTGGGTTTTATAAAACCTTTTCGCTTTAGGCCTCCACCGCCATGTGCAAAATAAAAGGTTCAATCAATCAGTCAATTTCAACTTCTCGCTGGAAAAAAAAAGATCTTGCAAAGTTGGAATTGATTGATTGAACTGTTTAGTCCCATCCAGTCTGTTACCACTGCAGCCACGCCCACCCAATGGGCCACACCCACCCAATTGGCCACACCCAGCCAATGGGCCACACCCACCCGGCACTTGACGATGCATAAGTGGGTTTTGGGTTGCATTTTGGGCACTCGGTCTCTAAAAGGTTCGCTATCACTGTGCTATGTCATTAAACTACTTGTACTCAAAGATTTATCTGCCTTGAAAATAACCCACATTTAAAATTTATAGCAGAGGGAAACCTCAGGAATCGACCACACGAAATGCTTTAGGATATTTTGCGTTATGTCATGAAACGTTTTATAGTAAATTTATACGCAATAGAATATTTTATAAAATTCACCCCATTTCAATTCCAGAAGACTCCTGGATATTGGACACGTTCTGTAAGCTAGGCCATTTGAGATACCTTGGTTCAAAAGTTTTTGTCTTACGATTCACCATTTTTACCTTATTAAAGGTTACACACAGACAAACAGAGTTTTAGTATATAAAAAAAAACTCCCCGGGGAAACCAATGGGGTTTCAAGACCTTACTTTTCGCAAAAATCAAAACGGGTTCCGGGGGAATAATGTGCAAACGCGTAAACCTGTTTTCATGACGGTTCTTCAATGAAATAAAATGGAAACTTTTTTTTTTTTTTAAATCAGATACGATCCCAAAACAGATATGTGGACTGCTGTGGCGTCAATGAGCATCAGTAGGGATGCGGTGGGAGTCTGCCTTCTAGGAGATAAGCTGTATGCTGTTGGAGGATATGATGGACAAGCCTACCTTAATACAGTAGAATCATATGACCCTCAGATAAATGAGTGGACACAGGTAATGTTGAGATTAAGAGAACACTTAACTTGACTAACACATCTGAGATTGTGGGGCCTTTGGTACTGTTTGAGCTTGGTTGTTTCCGTGCAGACATTTCATTATCATTTAGGCAAGAAAAACCAAATGCACAGGTATAGTATAGGGGGTACCTTGCTCAATAGTAGTAACTGTGAGAGGGATCTCGGAGTCCTAGTGGACAATCACTTAGATATGAGCCAGCAGTGTGCTGCAGCTGCCAAAAAAGCCAACACAGTGCTAGGCTGCATTAACAGAGGGATAGAATCAAGATCACGTGAAGTGTTAATACCACTTTACAATGCCTTGGTAAGGCCACACTTGGAATACTGCATCCAGTTTTGGTCACCATGATGTAAAAAAGATGCTGAGACTCTAGAAAGAGTACAGAGAAGAGCAACAAAGATGATCAGGGGACTGGAGGCTAAAACATATAAGGAGCGGTTGCTGGAATTGGGTATGTCTAGTTTAATGAAGAGAAGGACGAGGGGGGACATGATAGCTGTGTTCCAGTATCTCAGGGGCTGCCCCAAAGAAGAGGGAGTCAAGCTATTCTCCAAAGCGCCTGAAGGCAGGACAAGAAGCAACAGATGGAAACTAAATAAGGAGAGAAGCAACCTAGAACTAAGGAGAATCTCCCTGACAGTTAGAACAATTAACCAGTGGAACAACCTGCCTCCAGAAGCGGTGAATGCTCCAACACTGGAGGTTTTGAAGAAAAGACTGGACAGCCATTTGTCCGAAATGGTGTAGGGTTTCCTGCCTGAGCAGGGGGTTGGACTCGATGACCTCCAAGGTCCCTTCCAACTTTATCATTATTATTATTATTATTATTATTATTATTATTATTATTATTATTATTATTATTATTATATTAGGTAATGTCATCAGTGCTGGAAGGGAGTGGGCAGAGTTTGAACGTGGCCTTTTGCTCCTTTTAATTTAAGAATCTTATTTTTAATTATTTTTGCTTCTTTTTAAAAATTTGTGGTGTCCTGTTACTGTACCTGGTTCTAGATTTTTTTTTTTTGGTCTTTGATCATAAATATTTTCTTTTAACTGGAATCAAGCTTCCTACTTGATTTTTTTCAAATAGATAAGAAAGGACATGGTATTTATAGAAGGCAAAAAAAGGTTTCCCCCTAAGAGCCAGCTGTAATTTAAATTTGAAATACTTCCTTTTGTTATTCCGACTGTGTAAATTCTGGACTATGTTAATCTGACTCAGAAATTGAATATAAATTTGTCAAGATTTTAGTCTAGCCTAGCAGGATAGATTTAATAAGAGGAGAGAAAAAACCATAGCAGAAGGAGAAAGGTTGTATTAAGAAAAACATTTCTGTAGAGTTGCTGTAAAGTTGAGAATCGTATACATTCGATAGATGGTAATGATCATGAATGTAATGATTAACCATGATCCAATTTAACAATTTCGGGAACTGAGCTTTGATGCCAGATGAAAGTTTGAAAGGTTGAGCCTAGGTGAGTTCTAGATTCGAATTGGGCTTTCACTTGAACAAAGACGGTCTTGCTTCTCATCTTTTCCAAAACATTTGTGAAATCTTACGGATAATTTTGTCTCTGATTATTATTATTTTTTTTTTTTATTCTTTTGCTGTTTCAGGTTGCGCCATTGTGCCTTGGAAGAGCTGGGGCTTGTGTGGTGACTGTCAAACTCTAGCAGTGAAATAAACTGTCTCTTCTGTAGACTGGGAATTTCACATCCAATCATGAAAGCATAAAAACCCGCAAGGTACCGTGTATCTTCGCAAGGCAAAGAGACTGCCCTTAAATCTATTTGTCTAAAAGACTTTTTTTAAAGGACCAATATTGTGCACTATTAAAAAACAACAACGAGTAATGCAGTTTATGTACACGTCTCTATGTATCGGTAATGGAACACGTTACAAATAGGAAGCATGTTTGAAGTACAGAAATCAGAAAAGAAAGGCAGTCATTTTGATTGTTCTGGAGCAGGGGGTCTTCAAACTTGGCCCTTTTATGACTTGTGGACTTCAACTCCCAGAATTCCTCAGCCAGCCACGTGTGGCTGGCTGAGGAATTCTGGGAGTTGAAGTCCACAAGTCATAAAAGGGCCAAGTTTGAAGACCCTTGGTCTAGAAGCACGAAAGGAACTTTTGTTGTTTTGTGGCCTCTAGCCACAGATCTGCAATTTCCTCTTGTGTCCTTTTGCAAAATACAAGAGGCAGTCTTGCTTTGTTCCAAATGCTCTTTTTTTATTGTTTGCTTTGTTTGTTTGTTTTGACATGGTACAACAAACCAAACGCGAAGGAAATACCAAGTGTACTTATTTGAACAGCGCTGTACCTCTGATGCCTATACAGGAAGCCCTCGGCTTAACGACCAATTATTGAGCCCCATTTTTTTGGTTGCTAAGGGAGACGTTTGTTCAGTTGAGTTTGGCCCCACTTTACGACTTTTCTCGCCACCGTTGCCAAGCGAATCAGTGCCCTTGGTAAGTGGGTAGCACAGTTGTTCAGTGAATCTGACTTCCCCCGTTGACTTTCTTTGTCCGATGGTCGCAAAAGGGGAGCATGTGACCGTCATAAATGTGAGTCAGTTGCCAAACATCTCCCATTTTGATCACATGACTGTGGGGAGCCGGCCACGGTCATAAATGTGAAAAGTGGCCGTCAGTCGCTTTTTCAGTGCCATTGTAACTTTCCGCAGTCACTAAATGAGCTGTTGTAAATCCAGGACAACCTGTAGTTTGTCAGAGAGAGCTTTTGCATTCGTTTCTCTTTAAATCGAAGCCTTATTTTAATGATTGTCTTACGTTTGGAAATAGGTTACGGAGTATATTTTTCAAGAACTCTCTATCACGAGCACCCGGTGTCTTGTTAGGAAATTTTATGTACCCTAGAAATTAATCCTGCCTATCTTTCCGAACTGGGATTGTATTGTCACTTTATGGATCCCTTCCTCAAAAAAGTGACAATGAAAGAGAGGTTGATGAGCCGATTAAAAATGAGTCAGATTATTATAATTATGTTATTCCAAAACATTCCAGGATTGTGGCTGAGACTAAATGAGACATTGCCACAGAGATTACATAGGCATTTATAGTGTTATTCCAACAAAAAAAGAAAATGGGTTTGGCCTAGATACATTTCAGAGGTTTAGTTACATTCCAAATCAAAGACTGTTCAAATTCCCTACGATCAAATTCCTGTGGCTCAATTATTTCCTATTGTAGCAGTTCTTCTGTGGAATTTTCTTCAGGTTTACATGTTTACACTATTACGAAATATTTGGATGTTCCAACCTGCTTTCAGCTTTTTACATTTTCTGTTGTGCCTTTTTTTTTTAAGTGCGACAGGTAGTCCTCGACTTAACGACCGCAATTGAGACTGACATTTCCATGGCTCAGCAGGATAGTTGTTAAGTGAGCTGCGCTCCATTTTACGACTCTTTTTGCCACAGCTGTTATACAAATTCAGTTCTTTAGTGAATCTGGCTTCCCCCATTTGATTCTGCTTCCTCCATTTGACCCCGGGACGTGTAAATACATGCCAGTTGCCAAGCCTTTAAATTTTGATCACGTGATCGTGAGGATGTTGCGACTGATCTTTGGTCATTTCTTTCACTGCCGTTGTAAGTTCAAAGAGGCAGGCTGGGTTACCCTGAAGCAGTTTCTGCACGTGGCTCAGTTACTCAGAAGTAGTTCCCTTTCATCTCTTTTGATGACAAGGCCACCATTACTGCATTCTGCAAAAAGACAACAAGCGGTTTGAGGTCAAGTGAAGCCAACGCGAGTCCTCAAGACAAAGGCGAGGCCAATCCAGTCGGCCAAAGCAAGTTCATTTTGCAGTAGATGGATGAGCTCTGAGAATACGTACAGGTCAGCTCCAAAATAAGTACCTGGGAATACAGGGACGAGTGATAGGGGACAGCAGCCAAAAATATAACAAAAATATAAGGGTCTCATTTCTATTGATTTTTCATGCTAACAGTCATAAACTTCAAACCAGCTTCTGTATAGCAAAGGACAACTTTTGTCATTTTCTTCTTCCAAAATAGGAAATTTGCTTTTCCAAAATTTTGCACCTGTCATCCGCAAGATGAGGAATGCAATTTTATATTAGAATTCTGTTAACAAAAATACGAGGAAAACAACTCTGATAGCATTTTAAGAGTAAGGCTCCCTTTCTCAAAAATAATGAAAAGTAGCCACAATAATTTGCATTTAAGATGAGTTTGCAGATGGCCTATTTAAATTTTAATATAATTGCCTATGGGAAATAGCCTTCCAGTGACTGGATATTTTGCAAAGACATGATTTGCTAAGATCAATCCATTCTCGTTGGGTATGTTTCATCTTTATAGCATTTTGCATAAATTTAGAATTGGTTTGAACTTGAATCTTTTAATGTTCCTTAAAAATTGTATATTATATAGCCGTCCACATAGGCTGCAGATTTCTGTCATGTCATAATGATTCTGCTGTCCTCAGTTCTTTTGCAACTGGATCACTTCTTCTCTGAAGTTGTGTTTGTGGTACTCTACAATGCTACTTTTAATTACTTGTTTTTGCTCTCCAGTTTTTTTTTCATTGAAAGGCATGTTACCATTAAAATACACGAACGAGGTATATTGTAATGTCCGCCATGTAATCTTCTGAACATATCACAATGTTTATAAAACGTTAACAGCAAACTGCAGTGATTCATTATTTTTTTGCATTCTAACTTATACGGAAGCTTCCATGGAGTTGCTGTATTTAGTAAATGCAGAAGGAGGGCAGTAATGGTATATTCCCTTGTGCACAGATGTTACAAATTTGCAAAGTTTGTTAACATCTAACCAAGCTTTGAAAAGCCCTACCTTATGGAATAGATAAAAAAAGAAATTTCTTGCAGAAAAATTGTCTTGTTATATTTTTTTCACTGAAACCCCAACATTTTTAGAAATAGATACAATCAGATTTAAAGCTGCAGATATCCCTTTTCAGATAATCATTCTTAGGAAACAGATCTGCAAAGTGTTTACTTCTAAACACTTTATGAAGTCTCAGTTATTGAAAACAGAGTAATTTTCCAATTCAGGTTTTTTGGGGAAAACCCACATTGTAGAATTAAAAAAGAATGGATTAAAAATTAATCCAGTTTTAGGATATTGTACTTTCTAGGTAATCTTTTATTTTACATTGTCTGTGTTTAAACGACTGCATGAAATGTTTTTTGTTGTTTTTTTAGTGAAAAACGTATTCCAGGTAAGTGTAAATAAGGATTGTAGCTATATACTTTAAAAAAAAACTAAATCACTCTATCAAGAGTTATTAAGTAAAATTTATAGACATGTTAAAAAGCAAGCACATCCCATTGATCTGTTTTAACTTGAAAAAGTTAAGGTTCAAATAAATGTTGAAATATGATGAAATACATTTATTCACGTGACCTATAGATACCTCTTGCCATTACTGATATCAAAGTGCGTTAAGTCAACCACTAGAAAGAGCTGCACAAATTATACCTGCAGGGCAGATATCCAGAAAGAACATCAAGACTAAAGCTTCCTTATGAGCATCTAGATAAAGACCGGGACCTCTGGAACAATTTGGTCCGGAGACTCAACAATTCTTTGGCCCTTTGGACCTCTTGGTGAGATCCAAAGACAGCATTTGATCAGAAGAACCCAATTACCAACAATAAAGCATGGGTGATGGTGGAAATGATATCGTTTGTGGCTGCTTTGATGCATCGTGGACCATAAATGACCAAGACACAAAAATAAACTGTTAATGTTTATTGGCAGGTGGCATTGTTGCAATTGCTTCAGCCTCTTTGTGTCTGGGGGGTGTCATCCTGGGTGTTCTCTTGAGAAGGTTTTATTTATTTTTGGGGGCAGATTCTTTGCGAGGACAGGTGTACCAGATGAAAGAATCAAGTAGGTCGGGCTTAGTCTTTCCCGCCTCTCTGCTCGTATCTGCAACCTAACCAGTAGTATAGCTATAAAGAGTCTCTTCACTTGTAATCTCAAAACAAGGCACTATTTTGTTCTCTGGTTTCTCCAAGGTCATTTGTAATATAAACTTCTTTTTTTCTTTTTATTTCTTGTTTTTCCGCCACTCGGCTTATTTATCAGTCTCCAATACTCCGATATTCATGAACAGCTTCCCCTTTTGTAATGATAAACTGTTGCTTTTGAATAGTCTCTCTGGGGGTCTTTACTCTTTCAGCTTCTCCCCTTCAGGGTCTCAACATTTTCAACCACAAGGAGAAGACTTCAGCTCACCCAGACTCAGCTCGTTGTTGAAGATCAGCCGTTTTGCATAGATTCCCTTCCGGCTGGCGACAACTTGGCCTGCCTCGGCTCTCCCGGCAGCCTTTCTTCCGCTCCTTTAGAGGGGGGCTCCAGTTCGCCCAGATCGGTCGCCACCAGGTCATTAAAAATGATGTATTAACGTTAGAGTGATGTCATGCCTGAACTTGTTTTCTAACAAATTAAAATTGGGAGTGTGAATGTTACCATGCTAACTTACCAAGTCATTCCAATAGAAGCTAAGTTGTTCGCTGTTGCTTATTGAATTTTAATACTTTGGATGTAACTTAACATGAGGATGCCATAACCTATTAAGCAAAATAAAGCTATAACAGTGGTAAAAAGAAAACATCTTTATCTGTCACTAGCTGTACCCGGCCACGTGTTGCTGTGGCTCACGTCTGGTTAAATGGAAAAGAAAAAGTAAAATCGTAGCGTGCGTTGCTTTTACGTCCAACAGATGGCGGTGTTTTTCAAAAAAGCATGTTTTTACCTGTCACAGGTGTGATATCTAT